CAGCTCGAATACTGGTCTAAATGGGCCCGTCTCTTACTACTACTTCTCAGAGCAGAATCTCATTTATACAACACATGAGGAGTCTCTCATTTTAGACAGTGTGAACAGCTCGAACACTGGTCTAAATGAGCCCGTCTCTTACTACTACTTCTAAGAGCAAAATCTCGTTTATATGAAACATGAGGAGTCTCTCAAAGTTCTTGGCGGCTAGAGTTAGAGAAGCAATGGTGAGACAAAAATAAATAACCGTTCCTTTTGTTTTATGGCCCAAATTATTTGTATTTGCAGCAGTTAACTACACAAAAGATGGCAAAAAAGTAATTTAACTAGTTCAGTCACTACACAACTATGAATGAAGTTGAACTACAAGCGAGTTGCTGCAAAATGTAGTTAGTTAAATTACATGTATTTCACTACTCCCCAACATTACTGTACTGTCTGATTGCACACATAAGACAAATATTGCTCACATACCGTCTTGGTAATAGGTATGTCTGAATGAAGCCATGAGAAACACTAACGTAAACCTTATATATCTCATGTCTGAAAAGTGCTATAAACAGTATATTTCACCACTGACTAAGTTCATCTTCTGCCTTGAAAATGTGAGTTCACTGAACTCAGGTTAAATGTACATTAACTAATATTTTATACATTATCTGATTTTTAAAAAAGTGGCAAATTGGGAGCTTCCAGTCCCAGAAAACATACCCACTTGATAGGTTCCAGTTGGAGCAGGTGAGGATATCAGGCTTGGATATGACCCAAAGACCATGGTGTTTATGGCATAAAAACTTTATTCATAATGAAAGTGAGCTCTTTGGTCAATGTGAGCATTAAATTAGAGATTTGGTTTTTACGTAGACTATACACTGTAATGCCTGAGAACAAGTGTGCGTTATCTGCACACTGTAACTCTCCGAGGCTAACGTTTTGTATATCCCTTTGTCAATCCAGTTTTATCAAATGAATGAGGATTTTATCATTAGTGGTTAAAGGCATTTAAGACTGAACTCCAAAGACTGAGATTGAGAATAGTTTAGAGTTTAGATTGAGTATAATCTTTGACTTATTGCAATTTTTGATACGAAAATGCTGCTCTGCAAACATACACATACAACAGCTCTCAGCAAAACACCTCAATCTGCGCTTCTAATTTAATTTAATTTAATCATCTCTATATTAGTCCAGCCATGGGGAAATTTAGACAGTCACACACCGATGGCGGCGCTGCCCTGCAAGGCGCTGTAGTAATATTAATTTACAGAGCAGCAAAACTGCAAGGATAACATAAGTTTTTCTAGTGAAATTAAATGTTTTCTATAAAAATAGCGGGATCGCAGTAGAACAAAGGCATCACTCTATTATTTTAAACTCGACTAAGCCTGACTACATAGCCTATATGTATAGAGACTTGATTTCCATGCTGTCTACTCTGACAATATATTTCACCAGTTGTAATTTATCGCGATATTTAAAACATAGCATTATTTCTCTACATATGCATTATTATCAGAAAAATACTTTATTTCCATTAGATCATCTGGGAGATGCCAGGCTGCTCGGGGATCACCTCTATCCAAAGCTTGAGGCGTTTTGGGTCATTTAATGGGAAAGTGTAATATGACCTTTTAATATTTTAAGCCTTATCTAGTAGCATGGAGGAGCTCTCATCTGCGAAAAGTCCAAAACAGGGGCTGTCAGACCAAAGAGGTTGTGTTCTTTTGAGCAGAGAGAGTAACAGAGAAAGAGCAAAAACCGGGGTTAACATTGGTTTGGTATTTTCAGAACCGAGAACAACGAAAGAAGCCAAAGGACTCAAATTTGATTAAGATGCAGTGTTCTTCCACCTGGAGGCATTAGCATCTAAAGCTAAGCCTTAGGAGTCAGTTTGGTTTAAGTCTCACTAGACCATCTAGCATTTTATGAGTTTTGAATATATAAACTGACTCAATAAATGTAATTGAACTTGATAGAACAACTTCATTAAAGTTGAGATATTACCTTTACACAGCTGTTTAATAACACAGACAATTATTACAGACAGATTTGCTTTCTCAGTTTAAATAGTCACTTCTTCATCTGATATGAAGTCTTTGTTGGGGATCGAATTCAACATCTTGATCATTAAGCTAAAAAGTTAATTCCACTAAATTCCAAAAAAATATTTCACAGTGTACTGTTTGGACTGCTATGGAACATGGACACACCCTTAAGATCCTTAACAGAACACAAGGGTTAATGCACAGTGGACACAACTTTCTCAGCATGTAACTGTAACCTGGAACGTAACCAGATAGTAAAAGGTCTGTTTTTGGCTTTTGGTTCCTCCATCCTTTTACTGCTGCTGCTGGTCCCTAGAGTGATGACATATTTGACATATTGGGGAATGGGTTTCAGATGATAGAGAAAATAGCCCAGTTGGATCCATTCACAGAGATCAAGTACAGTTAACTGATTTATTTGTCAAAGCACAGTTGAGCCACATGATCACTGTATTTGGTATTTTGCTGCAGGGGGATGTCATACGTATACAGTATGTCTTGTTCAATATTACTAGTTAGATGTGTTGATGCTTACACTGTCGATAGTTTTGAGGCCATTTTGACAATTCAGTTAATGTGCTTTAGCCTCTGCTGAAAAGGTGAGCTATTTATACTTCATCTTAGCTTGCATATACAGACAGACCCACATGCAAAGGTCACAGATGCTCTTGCACCCATTCCCTTGGCTTTTTTTTTGTTTGTTTATTCTGGTTCAAACATGTTCCTCCTAAGCTTTCCTTCTGCTCTGCTATGGGAAAAACATTTTTTGTTTAGTCCATACATCACAGTTAGAAGGTTTTTGACCTTGACATTTATATGGTTAAACTTTTCAGAAAATATAACTATCACCAATAATCATGTCACTATCAAAGCACACCAGACACCAATTGACCTGCATTAAGGCAGACAAGAGTGTCTGTCTTCCCACTTGTGCAGTTCCCCTGTGCTATCCTTTACAGAACAGAATGATAAGATGTAATAAATGATTAAAACATTCCCAAGAGTGGTATTTTATAAAAGTGGTACAACTCCTTTAATGAAAAAAGATATTGCATTTCTCGTAGTTTCCACTTTTTATAAGACCTGGTCACACTCGCACCATGCACCCCATTTCAGTGTGAGGTTTCACTGCTGAGTGGTTTTCATATGTGTCTGCTTATTAAATAAGAATGCGATTTCACAAACTGGATCGAATTTGGGTGCCAGAACCCTGCAAGCAGATGTTTTTTATTAAGGTTTGTAATTGGATATAATAAGCACAGGCTGTGGCACAGTGTTGCTTTATTGGATGCATGTCATCTCTCTTGGGAGCAGTGTGTTGAATGTCAGACTTGACTGACCAGATGCATCAAGTGATTACACTTAAACCCATGAGCTACTGAGATCCACCTCATGTAAACCAAACTCTCAAGTGAGCCGAACTGCATATGAGATGCTCTGGAATCTGACTCCTTGTTGCTTTTTTTTGTTACCGAGTCGAGTAAGCCACGGGCTGATAAATATCAGTTTGAAATGTGTCAAACGGATGGACTGTGGTGAGGCTGGTTTCTGCATGACACCTGACAAATCAGAGGGATATAGAATCTATATAGATCAATGTTGCGTCTGAAGACCATCAGCGGTGAGACAGCAAATGGACACAGCATCTGGTCTTGGCATTTAACTAAAGGTGCTTTCAGTGTGGATTAGTGGTTCAGTTTCTTCTAAGAAAACCTTCAAGTCATAAATTATGCCTAAGCGTAGCTGACATAAGCAGTTTTCCTTGTCAAATAAAGGCTGACAGTGTTCTTTCTGATAACAGCACCAATCTGACAACCAGGTGTTTTGTCCTGGGTTGAGCTATCAAGAGATCTGTTGATGCACACAACAGCTGCTGACCAAATATCAAAATTTTATATTTTTTTTTACAGATGGTTTGTCAATATTTTGCAGGTGCCTGTAATTTATTTTCTTTCTCTTTCCATTTTTGGCTTCAGCTATTACTGACTCATTAAAAAGTCACTATAGCTGGGTATTAAAGATCATATGTTAATTGTAAAATGGCAAATTTAATGTTGAATAGTCCTAATGATACCAAATGAAAAAAATAACAAAATCAGCTGTAAACTCTGGCGGGTCCAAATACATACAAATAAAAGAGTGTAGCAACATCATCATATATAAAAAGGTCACTGAACTCTGTTATAGTAGCCTAAGTACCATACATATACCGTAAGCCCCCACAGGTTTATTGGTGGAGCTGCAAACAAATCACCCAGTGTATTTTCATATCATTTCTTTTGCCTGCTGTTACTAACTTGTTAAAGCGACTCAGCGAGTGCTGCTGCTAGGCTGCAGGAAGGCTTGCGCGGCCAAAAACAGCATGTCACCTGCGCTGCACAAAGCTCCGTGTCGAGGACGCGCTGGCTCCGAAGAACCAAGCACTAATTAGAAGCTGAAAGGTACAAACAGATCTGAAAGCATTGCTCCGTAGGTGGGGGAGGACAGCTTCACACAGGCACACTGCCACTCTCAAGAATGAAAGTCGAGCTCCCTCAGAGGTCTTTTCCTGGGCTTGCTTACTACGGAGAACAAACTGCTCTCAGTTGTTTTATATTAAAGGTCAACCCAGATCAGTACACAATTATTACACCAAAGCCCTCAGTGTATTACATAGTTAAGATTGTGGCACATGCACTGTGCGCTGATGCGCGCATACGGGAGTGGATTAAAAAGATGCGCTTTGGGATAAATGACAAACAACCGCGGCAAATTCGCCTAGAAAGTTAATATCTATGGAATCACACCTAAAAGAAATCACCATGTAGACAGGCTGAACTACACCGCCGATCCCTGCTGGAAATGCTCACGGGCTACGTACAATATTTGAACAACCTTTAGTTATAGACTGTGAGCTATAGATGATCTTGCTTGGTGCCAAACGGGCATATCACACAGAAAAGAAACCGGTCTTACCTTCACGCCATAAGTTTCACTGAATCTTTGTTTTAACAGGAGCCGGCTGTAAAATTCGAGCGCATCCACAGTTAACTCCCACTGTATCCAGCATTTGCTTTGCACATTGTTTATTCTCTGTAAATTTACCAAGTCGGCGCAGCGGCTCGGGTGCGAGGCATCAGTGCATATTGGTAGGGAAAAAAGCTGAACTGCTGGGAGCCCAGAATACTTCAAAATGGAATATACCGTTTAAAAAATAAAATCACTTTTTAGATTTTCTTCCGTTTCGGTCTTCAGTGAAGTGAAGCAGAGGTGGAAACTGTGTTGTCCGTTACCTTCGGTACTGAAGGAGGCAGGAGACACGGCGACTGTAAATAACTGTAGAAAATCAAGGCGGGGTTACATCTGTTTCCTTTAATGTCACCAGCATTATATTACCTTCTTTTTGCTCACAGGTCCTTACTACGCTATCCACTCTGCGCCACTGGCTGCGCTTTTTCATAATTAGTAATTAATGGGACAAAGGGTAAAAAAGTGATATAGGCCTGAAATATTTTGAGCTTTTAATGGTACAGTAGGGTGCAGGAGATCCGAAAGACAGCGAACAAATTCCTGACCTGTGATAGACTAATGCATAAGTGCAATATATACAAAATGATTATGAGAAATGAAAGAAATCGGTAGACTATGGTGAACATATGCCGGTTTTAGACAATGGTGTTTTGTCTCCATGAAGAAACCCTGTCCTTTAACTAACTCCTTAGTCCTCAGAGAGACTCGGAGCTCACTGGCTTTCATTCTCGCCATCTAATCAGTAGCCAGTTTACGCAAAGAATGCTTTGTGAATTTAATTAACTAGCTAGGATAGAAAACCGCTAAGATTCTGTGGCCTGAAGACAAGCATCAAGAAACAATGTGCTACGAATTTCACATCACAGCACTGGGGTTTATTTCAACCTGTTGACTTCATATGAATCCAACAAAGAGACAGGTGGTAAATTACAGAAAAAAACCACAATAAATGAGTGGTCTCTTCCAGGATGACAGCGCCCCCACCCACAGGCCATGAGGGGGTCACTGGATGGTTTGATGAGTATGATGATGATGTGAATCATATGCTGTGGCCTTCACAATCGCCAGATCTCAACCCAGTTGAACACCTGTGGGGGAATTTGGAGCAAAACACCACATGAGGGGATTTCTTTTGGAAGAATGGTGTTCATGCCTCCAGCAGAGATCACAGACTTGAAGAGTCAATGCCAAGGTGCACTGAAGCTATTCTGGTAGTACATGGTGGCCCAACACTTCATGTTGGTTTGTCCTTTCATTTGTCACCTGCCTCTACATGTGCATGTGCATTTAAAGACAAGCACAGGACGGAAGCAGTTTGGTTACTAACCTAATACAGTAGGTCTGCAAGACCCACTTTGGACCTCATATTTTGCCTTGTCTGAGGGTAAATGTGATTACTCTCGACTACATCCCAGGTGTCTGTGAAAAGATTTATGACACAGAAATAACCTTTTTGTAAAGTCAGAAATAGCACAAGAGCACTTTCAAGTGCTGTAACACTGAGTTTCCGTGTAGCCAGAATTGTAGGTTGTTTCTGCTTCATTATTCCAAATCTCATTATTTTAGCGCTGCAGGTATTTGTGTTAACTGTGTGCCTGTAGAGTTTTAAATGTTGTTAAACTGTCCAGTGGGTTCACATCACTTTGCTTTACTCCTTCACACAGGTGCAGCCCTGCTAATATATGGTAACAAAACAATGAGGATAATCAATAGGGTACTTTGTTCTCATTACCAAAGGTTAAAACCAGGAGACAACCACTAAACCGCTCTGCACTGTCAAGGTCTCTTGGTGGATATAGCCATTTAGAGATTTACTTGAACACTATATTTGACAGTGAATTATAATATTATTCATAGACTGCAGGCACACACACTTAATCATCAGGAGGAATGATGGAATTCATTTCAATTTGTATAGCAGCAATTCACAACAACAGTCATCTCAGGGCACTTTACATAATAAAGTCTAGTCCTTACAGCATTATAAGGAAAACCCAGCAAATCCCTCTTGAGCAAGCATTTGGCAACAATGAAGAGGACAAACCTCTGACCGACCCCCAGCTATTGATGGGCGGCCTTCTGCCTCAACCAGCTGGGGTGAGTGGATAGAGGAGAAAGAAAAGCATCAAGACACAACAAAAACAAAACAAACACGGGTTAATGTGGCCAGTTACTGCTCATCAGAAACATAGAGCTCCTGGGTTACCTGCAGTGTAGGGAGAGAGAGGACACTAGGAGAGGGAGGAGACATGGTTAGTGACATGTAATGGTAGTGCCATATAAAAATTAAACGGGGGGTGTAGGAGAGGAGCTCAGAGCATCATGGGAGGATAGGCCTATGACTAAAAGAGGGTACACCAAACCAAGCCAGTAGTACAGTTAAATATACTCAGTAGCAACAAACAGGACAGGGCAGAGCCCCTGTTTCCTTCCAGTTAAGATGGCTGTCAGTCTTATCCATGTTCAGCCGTACTGGTTGTTGTGGTGCCATCAAATATCAGAAGACATAACCTACTAAGTACCTTTATAACCTCCCTGACTGAAAGCATTCTGGCTAAAAGCAAAAACAAAAAAATGTTGATTATGCTGTGTCTAGGATTTGGTACAAATGTGAAATAGATTTATTTTGAAGCACTTTTACTTCAGTTGATGATTTAAGTCATGCTCTAAAATATATTCCTACATTCAAAAGGTAAAAAGTTCAGCTTTTATTCTGCTTCGTGTATCTGATGGCTGTACAGCAGATTCCACTGACTTTGTAGATGTTTTTCATTCAACTAAAAAAAAAAACGAAGTATGAATTTCTACTGCTGTTAATTCATCTATTTGTTGTTTTGTTTCTGTGAGAAATCCACTGCAGCACAGAGACAGCCCACACATTTCTGAACCCAACATAATACCAGACAATGGCCATATTTATTGTTTTCTGAGTACTGGGTTTTACCTACTGTAAACAATATTGATCATTAATATTACGTGATGTTATTGCTGTCACTTTCATATAAACTCCAGCTGGATGCAAACATTCTCTGGGGATGCTCACACACATTTTGGGATAAGTAGGAAACAAGGATTCGAGCATGAGTGAACAACACAGGTGGAGGGAACATGGATAAAGCTGAAAGATAAATTACACCAAACACCAACAGTCTTCACAAAGGATGACATACCTGATCAGTGATACAACCTACAGTAAGTGTGATACTTTCCCCCGTGGGAAGCAGCCTTCACACGCTACTCACACCTTTGTGCTTTTGCGGGGACATCTGTACTGCAGCAGATAGCCAAATCACACTTTAGTCTTTCTCACTTATTCACACATAAACATATACACTCAGATGCACACACAGACATAAACATGAATGGTCCCCGGGCTTGCTGAGGGAGTTACAATCTCACGGACTGCTGACTGCCATAAGGCAACATTTTCAGCCTGGTGCTCCCTGATATTGCCTCTTTTATGTTGTATTGATGAGTGGATGTTTGCAGAATGCCACATAAATCATGGCAACTTTGGCGACACGCTTAGATTATGCAATTTTACACACTGGCTTAACCCTTGTGCTATGCTAATGAAATGTTCATGCAGTAATCTATGAGGTGAGAGATCCACAGTATTGGATACACAGTCATCTTAAAGGCAGGGGGTAGGGTGTGAATTCACTTCAGGAACTGGATTTCATTTGTTGCCTTATGTTGTACGGGGCTTGGAGATAGATTGTAGACTCTTGACACAAAGGCACCTCTCCTAGTGTGGCCAAAGCACAGATGGCGACGTGAGGTGAGCCAGGAAAAGGCACAGACCTGGCAGGAAGAAGAACACTGCTGTCATATAAAAGGCTCTCACTCCTTCTTTCACTCATATGAAACCGTACAGGACACACATGCTCCAGCTACTGTGGCCCTGAAAGTGAATCATGATTTATGCACTGGCAGTCACCTCATCTTATAAAGAAATTATATTACTGCTGGTTAGCACCAAATAACGATGCGTGACATCCTGTGCTTGACATTGAATCTCATTCCCTGGCTCATGTTACAACCTGTCATCTGAAATACTTTGTGGTGTTTGAGACAGAAAGATAAAGAGGCATGGCTGCCATGTTTGGGGGGTGATGGTGTCAGAAGGAAGTAAAGGCAAGATGAGGAAGAGGGAAATGATGAGTAAGAAGAGATCTTGGATATGACAGATCTACTTGCAGTTTCTTTTACTTTTACTAGAGAGAAAAAGGTATTTAAAGGATCGATCCATGATCCATTCCGCTTATCCTGTGGAGGGTTGCAGTGGGGCCGGAGCAAATCCCAGCTGACATTAAGCGAGAGGCGGGGTGCACCCTGGGTAGTTCTTCAGTCTGTCACAGGGCTGACACATAGAGACAGGCATCCACTCACACGCACCTACAGGCAATTTAGAACCTGCATATCTTTGGACTGTGGGAGGAAACTAGAGCACCCAGAGAAAACCCATGCAGGCATGAGGAGAATATGCATCTTGCTGTGAGGCGACAGTGCTAGACAGGCCTTGTGTTTATTTCATACTTCTGTTTAATTGTACCATTTGCTGTGCCTGTATAACTGAGCTTTGCACAGTGCAGTTGAACAGAGTTTTACAGCATTCATGGCAACTTTCCCTCTTGTTTCACTGTTATATTTTATGGGATGCTGCAGCACTGCAGATAGGGAAAAAGTAGGAGGGAGGGCGAGAAAAAGAGATCCTGAATTAAGTAAGCGTAGGAGGACAAGCTGCGAGATAAGTAATTGGTGGCTGAAATTTTTTAAATTTTATCATCCCAGTTATGATGACCGGGCACTGACTCTCTTTCCTCGAAGACAGACAGGGGAGGGCTAAGGTGATGAGAACAGGACATAACATGGTAATTGTGAGATGCAAGGTCACTTGTTGGTGGAGGAGCCAACCAAGCAGCATGTGGTCAGCATGATGGGACACAGTGGAATTGCTTTTGCATTCACAAACAAGCTTGTTAGCCTTATGGTCACCCATGACTGAGTACAGAGGGTGTTTGCCTGCAATGAATTTGTGAAGATGCTTTCATGTATCCCTTTCCCTCTGCTTGGAACTGACTGATTTAAAATTGAAAATGCTTTTCCGTCAGTGAGTCTGGAGTTATAACACAAGCCAGAGGCCAAAGGGGCAAAGTGCCATTTACGATTTGATTGACTACAAAATCTATTCATAGTTTTGCCTTTTCCACACATGTTATCACATGTTAATCACATTTTAATTAAATTACAATATAATCATTAGGAAAGAATCAAAGTTTTAACACAAGCACACCCCCT